GACCATGATCGGCAAGCTTCCGCATGAGGGAGCATATTGACCACGCAGTCTGGCTATCCAAACCGGAGGTGGGCTCGTCAAAGAAGAGAAGAAGATCCGGTTTGGCTGCGATCTCGACTCCGATCGTCAGCCGCTTGCGCTGCTCAACGTTGAGGCCCTCACCAAGGACGCCGACGATCGCCTCCGCGTACTCTTCCATATTGAGCATCTTGATAACCTCCTCTACATATGCTAGCTTTTCTTCCCGTGGGGTGCTCGCAGGTTGGCGGAGCAGAGCACTGAAAATAAGGGCCTCCCGAACAGTACTCGTCTCTAAGTGCAAGTCCTGCTGCTGGACATAGCCTGTTTTGCGCTGGAAAGAGTCATCACGCATGCGCCCATCCACTAGCATCTCACCAGTGATCACCCCCATCGTCACCCGATTGGCCAGAACATCGAGGAGAGAGGTTTTGCCAGCTCCGGTCACACCCATTAGGGCTGTGAGGGTACCCGGTTTAACCCAGCCATCAACATGACCCAAGATCCGACGGTCCTGACCTTTGATCTTGATGTCATAGCAAACGTCTTGCCAGTGGAATATTGATGTTTGCTTTACAATGGCACCGACATGATCGTCCTGCTCACTGCCAACCTTCAGCTTCTCTGATGTGAGGGCATCCTCTGGATCCACTTCCCGATGGACCTTCCTTGCGAAGGCGGGTATCTTGCCCCGAGGGAAAACCAGAATCTCCCCCTTTGAGGGCTTCGCCCGTACAAGTTCACTGGCGACAATATAGGCCAATAGCGAGAAGAAGAGGAATCCTAGAAGAATACCAAAGTTGCGCCATAAGTGCGAGGGGTAGTATTCGAAGGCTACTTCGAGATAGCGATCACCAAGTATATGATCCTGGCCTGCCACAGCCCCCTTTCCGGAGCAAATCTTCGAGTCAAGAGGCGCATTCTCATACCCTGGACCGGAAGGTACATATGTTGTACAATTAAATTTGCGTCCAGCAAACTCATTGATCATGAGCGATTCAAACGAGTACTGGGTTTCACGACTTTAGTGAAAATGCTACACTCATAAGGAACGGCAATCTAGAAACTTACTGCGATTGGATTGATGTAATTGAGCCATCGAAACCAGGGGTGCATATCCCGGACCGGTATAGTGAAGCCCGTGTAGATCATTAGTATCATCATAAAGATTGCAGCAGGGACTTCTGCCTGCGCCAGGGACCGAGAAACTGCAGCTATCCAGCGGAACACGTTGGACATAGTCAAGGTTGTTGTCACGGAAAACAGGTAGAACACGAAAAAATGCCCGGGAGTCCGACGCAGGTTCGTCATAAAGTATAGAATCAAATTAAAGACCACGGAAACTAGTGCCTTAGATGGTAGATCAACAATTAGGGAGCTAATTGCTTCAGCTGATGGATGGTAAAGTGCATATTTATCGTGTTTTTCGACGATTGGCCGTTGTTGCCATAACGTAAGCATCTCAAGGGCGCTGGCGAATGCATTCATCAAGATTGCAAAGAATAACAATGCCCCTCGGGAGAAATAACTGTCTGTAGTTTCGTCCAAGTTATAGAACACACTTGAGATGATTAACGCCAGGATACTGTTGCCGATCACCGTTGATAGTGTCATGCTCATATCGCCCTTGAGACGTAGAAATCCTCTATGAAGGCAAAGCCGGATCTGCATCCAATATGACAAGGTGTAAGGGGAGGAAGCCCTTGTGCTCTTGGCCTTCTCTGCGGCACGCGAACGACTGAATTCCTCCTTTTTGCTTCCTCCTAAAGGGAACTCATTCTGAAATGCCTCGATATCTGTGAGGAGCTGCTTTCTTTCCAGACTGTCCCTCCATCGCGCCGCAAATTCATCAGGTGTACGAGGGACCAGGTGCTCATATCCCTTACGAACCAGCCTTTCTGTCGGACTGGTCAGCGATGTTAGAAAGTCTCCAGTAGTCTGTCTTTCCGGACAGTCAAAACCCATTCCAATAAAAAACTGCTTTGCGTCACGGGCCCGGCCGAAATATATTTGGCGTCCTTCGTAAAGAACAATGACTTTATCAAATACATCATAGATAGCTTGACTCGCCTGGTATATTGCCACGATTGCCGTGGACCCAGTATAGTCCGTGGATAGACGTAGGTTCTTGACAAATTCGAGAGCAGTCGAACTGTCCAACCCTCGCGTGCTATTATCCCAGCATTGCAGCGGGCTCCCACAAAGTGTAGTCTCCGCAATACTAACTCTTTTGCGCTCGCCTCCTGAGACGCCCCGAATGAAATCGTTTCCTACTAGTGTGTTCATGGTATGGCTAAGACCTAACATGGCCATGACAACGTCCCGCATGTGTGTCGCATATTGATCACGGCTTACACCAGGGAGTCTATTTGCTGGTGCTCGTGCCTGTGCCGCGAAAAGAAGAGTGTCCCCGGCAGTAAGTTGTGGAAAGTGAATCTCTGTTTCTGCCTGATACATCACCTCTCCACGAAATCGAGTATGCATTTCGTCCCATGAGATCCCCTGATACTGAATATCAGTTCCTTTATCCAGCCACAGTCCATGTATTTCACCAGCGATGGTTTTTAGAAAGGTCGAGCAACCACTGCAGATATAGGAGTTAGTCTGTATGATGGTTCTAGATAGGGAAACGACGTTTACCTGCCGGGTCGGCCTAGAACCACCAGCATTTCCCCACTGTTGACAAAACCCTCAAAGTTGCGCAGAATATCGATCCGAACCTTGTTCCCATTACCGAATAAACCTCGGAACCAACCCACTGCTTTGAGCCAGACATTCGATACTGTAGCCTGATAGTCAGCCGCCGTTCCATAACCAAATGCGTTGAGGTTCCGAAACGAGACCCCTGCAGTGCGACGGGGGTAGCGCTCAGGGTCGCGCGAGGTTATGTGCAGAAGGTTCTTAGTCCATTTTCGAGAGTTGAATTGGTCCGTGTTCGGGTCCAATTCGGGGTCAATAGTATTAAGAAAAGGGTTGAGTCCCTCGGCGCCGCCATTTGTCTGAGAGATACGCGACAGGCTTCGTGCCAATGTAGTAATCTTGGCCTGCCCCTCTTGCACGATGCCATCCTCTGAATCAGCCCCAATTGTATCCGAACTCTCTGCTTTGTCAACCGCCGGCCTGGTAGTTTGGTCCATATGAGTGTCTGTGTGGCGATGCAATGAGCCTTCGCCGCCAGGCAGTGCCATGCTTGATGTCGCTGAAGGTTCAACGGATGTTATAGGTGTTGAGGAAAGGCCTGTTGTGCTTCGTATTGTAGTTCAACAAGCTACACTGACAGTTTGTCATAATACAACATGCAATGCCTACACGCGGTTCGAGAAGCTTGGAGAAGTACAGATGCCAAAGTGTGTACTCACGGATACTGCAGTGGAAAAAATGGCAGGAAGGAATCAAAGAAGGAAGGGACAAACAACTAAGAGGAGAATACAAAATAAAATTAAATCATGGCTGAGTAAACAACGAGAGGCAAAGTTTGACGCCATATAAAAGAGTAGTGACACGGAATACGGGAGAGACGACATCCGACCAGGAAAGCATAATATGGACAGGGAAGTGAGGACAGGGGATAGGAGAAGGCAGTAGCCGAGCCGGTCCATGGCCGAGAGATCATTGTACCATGTGCCTTTGTAGTGTTTGGAAAGTGCGACTCTCAGATCCTTGGCATGGGAACCGATAGGCCGTTTTCCTTTGATTCATGTTCATTGATGTGGTTACAAGTCATGTGCGGGAATGCTCTCCCGCGGAAGCTACTCCTAGTAAGTAGTCTATGGCATATCAATCTTTGTTCTCGAGTGGGTTGCAGCTCGATCAGCATGCCTGTCTGTATCTGGTACTCTCACCGACTTCTTAACTTCGTCTGTGTGTGAAAAGAACTTTACTAGATGACTCAGTGCGTATTGCGTTCCGTCTCGCGATCCTTGCATTTATCTTTGTGTTGGTTCATTGCTTCTCTATCCAGCTCAGACGCCTTGGGGTGGTAAGGATGACCTTGCAAGAACCGCAGGGAGCTACGAGTGTAAACGAGACACAACGCTGTCTAACGTCCCTCCCCGTTACATCAACGGTGGCATTGTGCATATGGTTGGTTAAATTCATATTCCACGGAAGATGGTAGACGTTCATTGGCTTCGTATTGGTCTCGTATTGGGACCACCCCCACTCTAGACCTGGAAATGTCCCGGAGCTAAACCGGATTGGGTTAATGCTGGTCATCTCAGCGTATGTACATACCTTATTCTTGCCTTATATTGCAGGTCCCCACCAAGATACAGACAATCAGAGCAAACGTCAACAACATAGTCCGCAGACGGAGGGGGATATTATTGTTCATATAACCCATTATTAGTACTACAAGACTTCGAGAAAGTCGAGCTCGTGAAAGAGCATAGTAAGCCCGATGCTGTCATTTCCAGAGATGGGTCGCATCCACCTCGTAACATTAAGTTTAAAAGTTCCGATGATTGGGGTATTTTACATGCGGGGTATACCTGTATTTTATGTTTCTTGTTCTTTGTATGTTCTGGCAGCCATCAGTTGGTCTCTTCATCCGAAATAAGAACAGAGATACATCAGCCCCCAATTATTGTGCATTACCCACGAGATATGTGCGCTGACACCATTATTCACCCTTCATTGAGATGTTAGTTTTCCTGAAAAGATGGGCGGCGGGAGGGGGGTCGAATTATTTTCGTAAGACCTACATTCCCTCCTGCGCGGTCGCAAGACATTATGCATGTGCCTGAGGTTTACTCTTTAGCGTCCATGGTTATCTGAGGGTGATGCTCAAATAGTGAGGTGACGTATTGGACTTCAATCTGTTCAGGTGATCGTCGTGTCACATACCGACGGGTAATAGTCTAACTGTTCCTTACCACCTATTAAAGTATTCCCTTACCAACATAGCCGGACATGTCTCGGAAGAGCACCTGTATCAGATCCTGGAGGATGTACGGAAAATCAAGATCGGACATGCAGAGAGTATGTTCCTGAGAAGCGCACCCTATAGTAAGCATACAGAAAATGAAATATCTGACGAGCCTATCGAAGAAACCTCGTCATCAGGCAGCAATCTCATAAAGAACCTTAAGATTGCACAAAATATCCTGCGTGATCATGGTCATTTCCGAGAGTCCGATGCCCTGAATGATGTCCTTATTACCTGTGCACAACCCCCTGAACTGGGTGGGTTAGGTCTGGCGGAACATGCCGACCTTACCGAGGAGTAAGAGTCCGAGGCTCTATTTCTGGTGTCGGTATGGTGGGAAGCGCGGAATTCAGCAGACAGAGCCAGCTCACTTCCCGCTCCGCTGCCTACCCGTCCCGAAGGCCGGAGGGGCATGACCCTGAGTGAAAAGGTCTTCCCATTGCACGACACTGGCCAGCGGGGTTCGGTAGCTCCGAGCGACTTAATACGAGTCGATGTGGATCGGGTGATTGCATCGGAAGCTTCTTGGGCAGTAAGTGCATGCTAAAGCTCTTCCTCCACCCTTCGCTACTACTGCGCTCACAGGGCGCTCCAGGGCATGGAGTCAACGTACAACCGCCTTAGAAAGCCGGGGATCTTCCGTAATGACCGCTGCTGGCTCGCTGGAGATGATGTAGTTGATCCTCGGGTCAACAGCCTTCCGAAAGTTCAGGGATTGATTGATGCGAGTGAAAGAGCAAAGCGTTCCTCGATGGCTAAAGAAGATCGGATGAGCATGGTGAACTAACAGACTGTTAAAGCTTGCGTCGGCTGAATTCTTGATTGAAATGACGACTAATGAGGCAGCTGGGGAGCACTGCTTGCAGTATACCCATCCAGAATTCTGTGACCGTGTGAAAGAGGGTTTCAATATTGTTGTTGCCGGCAAGGCCTTTGGCTGTGGATCCTCTCGGGGACAGGCTGTCAGGGCACTGCTGGGTATGTTATCCATATCATATCCTTTTTAATCCTTCACACCCATTTGTTTTTAACATTCATTTCTCAGGGTGTGGTGTCAAATGTATCATTGCTGAAAGCTTTGCTTTCATCTTTCAGCGCAACATGCTAAACCTTGGACTCCTTGGCATTACCATGCCGGAGAGATCATTCCACGCGGCTGTCGAGGATGGGGCGGAAATCACGATTGACTTCAATGATAGTATCATTGATATGGATGGACAAACATTCAGCTTTAATCTCAGCCCAATGGAGAGAGCGCCCTTTCATCATGGTGGTATTGCGTCTGCCTTTAGAAGGTTTGGCAGTAACTTATTTGAAGCGATAACGGAGGGAAAGAGCATGGGTCTAACGCCTGATCATGGCATTAAAAAGTCCGCGGACTTACATCCCGAGCTGCAGTGGTAGGAGTCCGAATTCTTTGCCTCTTTCGTACATCAATACGCGCTCGTGTGGAGTTGTTTAATCGACGTGTCTTCTAACCCTTTCAAGCTTAACGAAATGGAAGGAACAAGGATCAACTTCTCTAATGGTGTAGGATATCAAATGGCTATTGTCACCCACGATACCAGACAACGTGCCTCGTAGGCTTTGTCTATGGTTTTGTCCGTAAGCTTGGTGTTATAGAGGCTGCCTGGTCACGTTGACATTAGTACCACTCTGTGAGGAAGGTGTGGCCGGTACCGGGCCGGTTCAGCTTCGAGTTAATTATTCCTTCCGGTTCTTGATCTCGCTCCCTTTCTATTTAGAAAACCACTATCAGTCACCTACAGGTTTCATATCTTATGCCTCTACACCGCTACCAGTGTTGTGTTCTATATCTACGCTCACACCTTCCGGGATTGTCAACAGTCAGCGCGATGGCAGGGATTCTTATCTATCTGCAGTATTTCCTGGGACAGCTTCTCTATCGCATTCGTGGCCACGATGCGGGACTGATCATCCGGACTGCAGCCTTCGAGAACCTCCCACTGTCGAATATGCAGCTGGAAGCCACAGAATGCGGACCGTCCGGCTCACCGATGCTCCCACACCACACTTGCTTAGCTGCCGATAAGAATGGTAGCTTCCCGGAACTCCACTGGACTCCTCCTCCCAAGGTCGATGTCAAAGAGTATATCTTGATCTCCGAGGATATTGACCCGCCCATTCCTCGCTTTGTTGTCATGCATGGGCTATTTTATGCCATTCCACCTACGATTACGGGAGTGCTCCCAGACGATACTGAACAGGACAGAAATACAAAAGACCATGTTACTCGGTCTGGCTGGAGATTTGTCCCCAATCTACTCGGGAACTCATACATTGGGCCTGCCCCACCCTTGGGACACGGCGCTCATCGATACATCTTTACTGTCGTTGCCCTCAGCGAGTCCCTTCGGTTCGATCGTTCACAACGGGTCAGCCAAAAACAGATCACAATAGCGATGGTTGGCAAAGTCGTCGGATGGGGTCAGTGGGTTGGGCACTTCGAACGTCCCTGGCCCAGTTAGACGGTACTTGTCCAAATGTACGGCGGATGATAATGTCACAGGTTCTATAAACACTTGGGCTCTCTCATGGACCAAGAGAGAGAGAAAGTGCTGTAGGAAAAGTGTGGCCTGAGACAATATGATGAAGTGGTATACCTTTGCTTCTTGTACTGTCTTTCTTATTACTGCCTCATTGCTTGATAATGCCATTATAATAACCAGAAAAAAGATTACCCTCGAACCGAGCAAACAATGCCTTCAAGAATTACACGTGTGGTACGATGACCAGAGAAGGTGGCTGCCCCTTGGTATTTTTTTTAGCCCCCTGATGCAATTAGCTTATCATACATGGACATGAACTGGATTACGTACGTTGTTCGACTTTTATTTGGTCCAGGAATGATACGAACCGATGCATAGTTGACTGGATGGACGACTCATACGCCCGCAGGGTTGCTGCGCTAGCTGGGTGTACCTGGGTATTATCCGTCGAAAATGGTCGAATAATCCCCTGAAGTGCCTCTAGTAGGCTGAGGAGTCTCATAGAATTGCGGCACAGAAGGGTTCGGACTAACATCCCCGTCTCGGCTTCGTCCAAATCTGTTTCCCCAAGCTGCACCTTGCTTCGGATGCAGATAAATTGGGGTAGGGGTTGTTCAAATGCCAGGATATTCGCATCGAAAAGGCAGTTCTTGGTGGTGATGCTGTATGCTGAGCATACGGCCTCAAATAACGAAAGACAATGATCAGTGAGGGCAGGGATGGTTATAAAGGAGGAGGTTTGTGGTGGAAGTTTGCGACAATCTTCGCAATTCAACATAGCTTGTCCTTGATTATACACGCGCTGGACCAAGTCCAGAATAGTCTCACACTCCACGACCGTGTCTACATTCCGAACCTCCGTCAAAATTTGCAAAGCATCGATTGAACACCTACAACTGCTTTCGGGTTCCATCAGTGGGAAGCAGTTACAGCGGAATCGTCCTCACACTTGTCGCTGGCAAACAAAGTTGTTGTCGCGATGTCAGAACACTCGAGGGTCCTTTGATAGATGCTCACATTACGCACTCAGGGTGTCGAGCCGCCAGTCGCGTGAATCAGAAGTCTATCACGCACGTCTTACTACATCGGGAAAAGGGGCATGTTAGCTTAGAGCTTGAATATCCTCCAAGGTATTTCCCGTTCACAAGGGCGCACATAGCCCTCAATTACTCCAATAGAAATACGACTTTCTAACATGATGTGATGGTTCACTTGATAGCCGCCTCACATTTCGTCAGCTCGAAGTTAACGAGGGAGCTCTGTTGGTCCTTTCCCTATGGAGCCTGTTCGTCGTGTCACACTCACGTCCTAAGACCCGCAGAATGGTCACACAGAAGTTGACAATGAAATGTAATGGTTCCCAGCTATCATAACCCCCGAGTAGCGGTCAGTCCGGACTAGTATCACAACACCTACCTTTGATTTACAAAGTCCAATGCCATGCAAATAGCCAGGCATAGCCGCATCTACGGACGACCTGGTTGTCGCTATTAGGGCGCGAACATTTAGTGATTATATCGGAGGATAAAAAGGAAATGTACAGGTATTGGGCACACATAGGGTGACTATCATTCACACGCAACAGAACATAAACCGTAATAAGATTTTAGCTCCAGATATTATATCTGTTCAACGTCTCGCCGGCGGTTTCATTTTCGTCATAACCAACTGCACCCTTCGATTCGTCTCTGTAATCATGCTTAATCTTCCCCATGATGACGGAAGAGCCAATATTTCCTCAGTACAGCGCTGTATCCGACCGATGATACTTGACAACCCGCAAAGTCGCGCGTGCAAAACTTGCTTCACAAAAGCAAACTTCTCTTCTGATGGGACCGGGAACCCACCCACTAACAATGGGCATTCCTCCACCTGTGCCTTGAAGTGGAAGTTTGCGTTTTTGTATCGACGATTGACAGCCCCATTTGAAATCTCCTGGCCATATTCCCGAAGGCTAGTGTCATGATACTCGGCAAACACGCCATCCCAAACACCACTGTCAACGGACGTGATTGTTTCAAGCGCGGTTACTAGGCTGTCAATACTAACAACGACTATCATGAGCAAGTTTACCCGTGTTTTGCAGCAAATGGCACATTCAAGGATAGTATCGGTCAACTGCTGTAAGATCTGCTGGCATTTCAAGATCGAGTCTATTGTGACAGTTGGCCATGTCCGAGAAGCACTTATATTGAGCAGCATCAGATCTCGGGCAATGTGATCATGGCACTGGCACTGATACTGGCGGGTTGCATTAGTCGTGGGCAGCCCTGGGCCTTCCAATGAGTGACTGTACTCGTGGGTGCGTCGTTGCCCCTTTGTTGTAATCAGTGGGTTCAGGTGTTCACCCGTGGCGGACAATCTAACACAATCATTCTCCATCGAAGGTGGTGCAGTCTGTGGCCAAACTAACGAATCCCTTTTGATATACCCCGGATAAGGGGACTCTATATCACTCATGGCCTGCGCACCTTCTATCGTTGGCTCACAATAGGCTGAAAATCCACTTGTTGGTGGATAATACGCAACCAATGGCCCCTGGTCTTGCAGCTCGGAGGCAGCCACATCGATGGTCTTGGCAGAGCCAGTGAAATCTTTTGTGCTGGATGGAATCGCTGTGAGACCGCTGTCAGCGCTACTAAGTCCAAGGGCATCGAGAAAATTGCGGTCTTGCGTCAGGTCGGACGGCTGTCCAGATATAAACTCCTGTAGCCAGTTGTCGGAGAGGTCTATGGTATCGGAGCCTGGATGACACAAACAAATGGTCCATGTTAGCTTGAGTACCGTATAGGGGATGTAAAACGAACCCTCATAGAGTGATAATTTGTCTGTATCTAGGAACGGTGGGGTTGGTAAGCGTGTATCCTCGGTGGACATATCATCTACAATGGAGTCGTTGAAGGCGAGCTCGTCCAGGATCACCTCCTCGTCATCCTGGGGATTTCTTATATCCTGCCCACTTCTCTGCCCCGAGTCTCGCTTTACCTTCCTCTTCCTCGGGCTCCGAACTCTTCGATTGGTCTGATGGCGAGGGTGATCTGAGATTTCACGATCCAGGGAATCGTCTTGCGCATTGTCTCTCTTCTTTGCAGGTCTTCCTAGGCGTCGGGACATGCTGTAGATACAATCTATGTTGTGTTTCTGACATCGTCGACACGATGGTCTCTCATGACTACAACGGATTTTAGCTTGTTGGCAAGCATTGCAAGTAGATCGGACTTTGACACTCTTGGGGAGAGGGTCGGGAAGCATTCTTGACAACCTGTCTCGATTCATGGCGACTGAATACAATACCGTGTCTGGACCGATAAGTGCTCTGAGCTACCCTCGGACCTTCTGTCCGGCATGCTATATACCGGCTGATCAGCGTCTTTGTGAGGGTGCAGTCCATCTCATTGCTACCTTCTCCGCAATTACCCTCAGATATCAATAGGCTCAAAGTTCAACATCAAGGTAGCAATGGGATGCAGCTCTTTCCTTATTCATGTTACATTACCCAGGTTCCACACCCGACCCATCGGCAATTCCAGGTATTTGGAATTAATCATAACCGTAGGGCATTAAGCCTGCGGCCTCGCAGTGGTGCGATTAATCGCTATTCGTATTGCCAAGTCTTAGGGTTCAACTTCGTGGACAGTGCTACTGTGATCAAAGCTAGTGCGAAAGTCACTACACATTGATTTGCCTATCGCCTGAACTCCACAGTTACGAGGGTCTGCTGCATCCTCCCTTAGCCCCTTGTCTAGACCGTTCGCGCGGAGCCCCTTCAACCCTGTCGTCCTACATGACAACCTGCAGGCTCCCTTCCATCTCACATGCCTTCGCCTCTGGCGAACCCGTGGGATCAGGACCATCGCACAGCATAGACCTTAGCCACGTCGTCGTCGGGCTAGCCGTAGCCGTCGGTTTTATCACGGGCCCATCATACTCCACAACGAAATAGTTCCCGGCCGCTGGCGCTTCAAGCCTAGCGATGTCTACGAACTGCTGGATATCGAAGCCTGCTCTCGCCTCTGCCGTCTGCGGGAAGATATGGCAATAACACATCGGGAACTGGTAATCAGTCTTCTGGTTAAACAGGAGGTAGACATATCGATGGTGCGAGAAGGGTGGCGGTCGTGGAGCGATGTATTCGGCTCCCACGCTCAGGTTGACTAGGACACCGCCACCTGAATCCCCGTCTATTTTCTCCAAAATTCCTGTATTATTGGATATATCCATCAGAGCGCCTTGCTGCATAGCGCAAACCATATCGGGCTGGTACCAGTGTAATGCGACTGTTGCATTCATGTCGTAGATAACGTCCAAGTCAAAGAATAGTAGCAGATATGTCACTTCGGGATTTAGTCCGCGCGCGCTTATTATAGGCAGGTTTTCCGTTCCTATTTTTTTTTTTAATTTTTTTTTGGTATTAAGTATTAGACATTATCCCAACCATAAATTAAGAATTAATGAGAACCTCACTAGACTTCAAAATCGTATCCCCAGGATAAATCAACGATGTATCAGGATACCGCAAATACAACATCGGAATATCTGGAGGAAGAGGGCTTATTTGAGCTGCCGCCCGAGTCCAAAGGAGATATAATAAAATGCATAGCATTGTTCCTAACGTGTAGCGATATGTTATAGCCCTGAAATAAAGAACGGGTTTAGCTGGACTTCACAATCCTCTTATAGTACTCTCTGAATTCCTGTCATATCAAACCGAAGACACGATGTGTGTAACATTGAAGCCACGGCAATTAACCATGACAAACAAAACTATCGATCTGTTCTTTGAGGGCAATGACCACCTACAAACATCGGAGAAAACATAATTCACGAATGAGATACTGGAAAGCTAAAGCCAGAAGCAGATGGCGAGGCGCACAAGGTCTGATCGAATCTAAACAAACACCCACAATCATAGGCTAGTGATAGGCTCATCCTGCACAATATTAGGCAAAGACAAATTACTCTACTCTCTTTTCCTCCACTGTAAGCCCCATCTCCACACCATCCATAGTAAAGGAACGACGCTTAGTACGACAACTGCCACACCGCAATATGTTGCCCTAACACCCCAGTGCTGGATACAAGGATGGACAAGGGCTGTTGCTGCTGCGCCTAGGAAGCACCGGACAAGGTTATTCGTGGCCATTATTGTTGCTGGTGTTGTGTAGTGGAGGTCCACGAGAAGGATGTTTAGGATGTTGTAGGTGGCTGTTAAGGTGAAGGATATGGTAAATATAAGTGTTAGGGTTAGGGCGAGGGGTGGTGGGTTGGGTGTTGGTGTTGTGATGGCGTATATTAGGATTGGGAGGGGGGCTAGGAGCTTTCGTAATATTAGTATAGAATATTAGGAGTGGTTAATACGTTAGAAAAAAGCAGGTGTGGGTGTGCGTGCGTACAGTCATCGGTCCCCCGACGCCTAGTCTGGCTTTCTCAATTTCGAAGTTCTCCATGTCCTGTCGGTCCTTTGCTATCATTCGTCTATAATTCCAGTCAATGGTTATTCCGTTGAATGTTGCACTCAGTAGGGTGCCGGCGCCCATTGGGATAAAGCTTAAGCCAATGTTCAAGTCACTTAGTCCGTAGATTGACCTGAGCTGGGAAGGTAGCCCGGCTGTTATCGCGTAGTAGCTGGCGAAGATTAGGCCGTTGGTCAGGAGGATGAGGCCTGTAGGGAGGTGGAAGAGAAGAGAGAGCGTATATAGGGGGTTTATCTTTCTTTTTGGCAGTTGTGCTAGGCGGGCCAGTTCTGAGTTGGTAGAGGGAATACGAATGGGCTTTTTCTGAGGATGCTTAGACATCCACCAATTGAGAATGGATCTGTTCCATCCTGATGTTGGGATTGAGGCATCTCCGACGATCGTTCGACATGTTTCTGGAAAGAAGAGCACGAGAGGGATGAAGAAGGCCGTGGATGACATTGCTAGAAACCAGAATATCGACTGCCATCCTAGATACTCGCTCAGGGCACCACCAAGGATAGGTCCTAGTGATGGCGCAAGGATGTTCCCTAAGGAGGTAATGCTCATATACGTTCCCCGTTCAGCGGAGGTGATGACATCGGCTGCGACGGCTGATGCCAAGGCCACAGTGCCACTGCTGCCGGTACTCTGAATCGCGCGGAGGATCAGGAGCGCAGGATAGCTATGTTGGAGAGCTAGGGCGACGTTGCTTGCTATATAAATCAAAAAGCAGAGGATGTAAGCCGGCCGGCGGCCAGCTTGGTCTGCGAATGAGCCTGTGAGGGTTGGGGCTAAGCCTTGACATATCTGCACGTAGTTTAGGGTTGAGTAACGGTTGAATGTATTAGAGTGTATTATAGGAAGGACGATGTACCATGTATGTAGTTATAGTTAGGTTGATTTGGGAACTGGTTACATCCAGGTCGACAGCTATAGAATTGTGGGCTGGATAGTAGATGTTAGCAGAGATAGGGGAAAACGTCGACGCTATGGCTGCTGCGAGAATAATCAACCGCTTCTGTCTGGTAGTAAAAACTGAATATCGTTCTTTCCCGGGATGAGGTTGTAAAAGGGGTGTGCTTTCGGTAAGTCGTCCTTCTTCCGAAGCTTCCTGGCTGTTGGTCATCTCGCCTTGGCTCTTCTTTGGCGGGGAGGGCTATGTACATTGATGGCTGATGTGGTCTACTATGTACAGTGGCTATGGGGCAAATATGTTGTCTTCAGGCACCTTCATAAAGTTTGTTAAGTCCCTAATTCCCAGCATTGCATTCCTTTGGGCTAAAGTGGTTAAAGCCACAGAGCATAAAGTCTTCTACGCGGCCATCATGTTACTGAGTGATAGACGAAGATGAATCTTACGGCTCACACAGTCAAATCTTGGGCAATGAACCGTTGACCTCTGTCTCACCTGTGTATATGTGCGATGGTCGAAACAACTTGCCGCGTGTCACTGCCATGAGTTAGAATACTCCGATATCTGACCGCAATCAGCACATACACATGTATTCCCGCCAATGGGCCATTATGCCTATTATTCGCTGTGCCAACATAGCAGCTGGTATAATATCTGGGTCGAAGCCACTATCCACTAGTCAGCTGCCGTAGGGTAGTTCATGTGTAGAGCTTGTAGCTTACATCGCAGTGAATACAAAGTTACCGTAAAAGTCAGCATTGGGATACAGTCCTCTGCGGCGGAAGTAGTCATCCGCTGAGGCTACTTCCTCGATGCGCTCGGTTATTTTCAAATACTGATTCGATGATAATTCCAGATCCTTCAGGATTGACTGAATTGGGCGAACCCTGGGATCAAGGCCTTTGTATAAGCGATGTCCATATCCAAATAGCTTCCTTTGCCCGTTTTTAACCTCTTCGATAAACTCGGGAACCTTGTCCGTTCTACCGATTTCCCGGAGCGTACGTTGGGCGGACACGGTAGCACCAAAGTGAAGGGGCCCATATGCGGCTGCCACCGCACTGATCAAGCAGGAAATAGGATCCGTTAACGAGGATGCTGTCACTAGTGTTGAGAATACGGTCAGGGCCATTCCATGGTCGGCATTCAGCATGGTAAAGCGCCGGAAGCATGACAGCTTAACTGGGTCTGGGCGACTCGAATCCCGATCCACCAACCCTGCCATAGTGAATAAATTCGCACGGTAGCCATTCTCCGGCGATGGCAGTTGGAACTCAATGCCCTTCCGATGGCTATTTACCAGACCAAAGATAACACCATATGCCGCTACAGTTCGGATAACCGCATCGTCGACATTACGCACGTTTCCTTGGTATAGACTCGCATGTGTTGATGCGGGAATTGTGTCTGGGAAGCACGCCAGATATGCCGAGAGCCCAGCCAAGATCAGTGGCAATGGAGACGTTGTGCGGCTGTAGCATCAAGGTCAGTCATTTCAACAAGACCATTATGACACGACCGCTTACGGAAGTCCTCGAATTGTCCGATGCACACTTTCTGGAACAGCCAGCATCTGCTCTGTAAGCTTTCTGTTTAAGTCCCTCTTTTGCTGCATTGTTGGATATGTGCCCCAAACGAGTAGATGTAACATGTCCTCGAAGTCGCTGTCCCATAGTTGGGCCAATGTGTAACCGCGAAAGAGAAGTACACCTCTTTCATGATCCCTACGCACGTCAGTCTGTGCACTGTTTCGCCTTGCACTGTGTCGTACGAATAACTTATAGCTGACTCTATCACCGCTGTATTCTGAAGCCCTGGGTCGTGTACCCGCAGCCCACCAGCCACATGATCTGCTCGGTTTATATCAGTTGCTGGTGCCGTGATCTTCTTGAGGTCAATGGCAGAAACCACATTTTGCCTGATCGGAATTTCGTACTTCTGCTTCGTCCGAGAGTCGACGATATGAAGAATCCCCGAAGACATTGGAGATTCTAGTGGTTTTTGACACATGCAGTAACGAAACTCTCCAGGTTGCTAGAGCGACCTCAAATCTCACCCTATGCTCAGGAAACTCCATACATTAAAAGTAACGATAGTACTCTCGAGCACAAGGGAGCCAGCCGCTTTATAGGTTGCCATATATGCTACTGCACATTCTTCTGTCGCTGGTCAAAGGTTTTCAGTACGTATCAGGTGTAATCTTCTGAGACGGGTACCCGAGTACGCCGTCCATCATACGAAAAGCCTTGCCAAGCAACCGGGAGGTTTCCAGTTTCTTCCCACTCAAACCCAGTATATCCCAGGTCGAATAGGGATGGAACCACCCAACTTTCAACACTAAATCTTTTAATGTAAATCTCGAACTTTAGTAATTGCTATCGACTGAGAAAATTAAGAGCTTATAGTCTAGTATTCCTTCGGTGAAAAGTGACTTGAAGAATGGCAGCTAACAATTACAGTCCACCGATTACAGCTGTGGGTGTGCGGTGCAGGTACGTAGCGTACTAAGTTACACGAAGTGCGAATTTCTCAATTGCCATTGCAGTTTCATTTATTAGATAAGTCATACGCTATTCATCGTCCAAATCATTGTGCATTTTGAAAATCATACATCCGCCGAGATGAGTTTATTCCGGCATGTTCTTGAAAGGCTTCGCGAGATGCTCCTGGCAGAATGGAAGCTTACTGACAGTCCAGATTTCGGTGTCCTAGACAGACATATCGCGTTAGCTGGGGAAGCAAAAGGGAGCCTATCATGCCATTAGGATATTAGGGGTCATACAGGCTTCAAGGTCTTCTTGATCTCCACATCAAGGGTTCCGGCCTTCAAGGCGATGATCTCCGGTGCAGCTTCTGGGTCGTGGGCAATAGGGGAGCCGCACTCCGAACAGAAAATTCGGTGAACTGCTTTGCCTGAAGATCCCGTTCCGGCGTAGCTCTTGGTGGGTCCATTGATCGTCAATTTGTCTTTAGGTACTACCGCGACGAGAGCTGTGAAACGCGAGTGATATTAGCCCATGGTCTACTGTAAACAGTATTCTAGGAATCGCTGTCGAGAAATGGGTGTTAAACACAATCACACATACAATAAGTTGATCCACTCTGACGCTGGCAATCGTCGCAGTGATCGTACGCGGTTATGAGCGGTGCCTCGACGTCAGCCTTATAGGTGACGGCTTTGCACAGACAGTGACCGGACAAAGGCATTCTGATGTCACGAATCGGATTGGTTAAAGTTAATTGGTGTAGAGTCAAGCGAACAAGGTTCTCATGGGTTGGGGACCTTCGAGGAATGATGGCACCTAGGGGGGTATTTATAGCCCTCCATGGTCCCCTGGTCATTCACCTTGAGTATCGATTCTTTGAAAGGGAATCAACTCTTTCTCAGCCGTGGTTGGCATTGCTACATTGGGTGGGAAAGAATCCACCGGTAAGGGTATTTGTCATTGCGGCGTAACCAAGTGGAGGGGGAGAAAAAACAATGTGAATCAATCGCTGGTAAGCAATCCAAATGGATGAAAAGAGTCTCATGAGGGGCAAAGCTGAAGAGGGTCCTTGCGTCACGGGTTGAACTTTGCTGGAATTGGCCAGTCGGTCACGTTCTCCCGAGCTCCACCAAACTATCTCTCACTCACTCACTCACTCACTCACTCACTCACTCACTTTCTCTACCTCCTCTCGCTTTGTTGTGTTTACGTGTTCTCACTCATTCACTCGCCCACTCAATTGTCCTCGGGAGAACCCATCGCTGCGTTTGTGAGAATCGCGTATTATTTTTACTCATTCCTATCAATTGAGTAACAGAATTCTCCCGAAGTACTCCGTAACCTCCTGGCAAAGACAATCCCCTCATCTCAGCTATGCAAGCCCCTCCATAATCCACTACTTGATCTGCAATATTCCCCACTCGGAAGGAGCTTAGATCATGATTATTTGATGACTGATTACTGATAGTACCGACCGAGCCACTTCAGCCGGTCGCAAACCTTGTTTTGCAGAGACTATCTCAAACCAATCCATTTCCCTTTATGCAAGAATTTGTCATGTTTTATGCCGAGGGCGGCCGAACGGATCGCCAAAATTATTCGGTTAATGAGGCGTGTCTGTTCTTTGTCACAGCAGTTTTCGTTTAGTGGGGTCCGATGTACATGGACTAACGCGGTGAGAAGCACGGATCGTCCGTCCAGGCCCACTGTCACATCTCCCCCTCAGGCGCTTCTATCAGCTGCATATCATGCAATGCCCCTCCATACAGTCTCAAAAATGAGATACCCCATCTAATCAGCATGGGTCCGGAGTGTTATCCAAGATTCTGTCACACCGCTTGGGGATATCCCAAACCCTTTCCTTGGTTTTATGAGGGTGCCGAACGCCGCCTGCTTGGGTATTTGTCGCTTGCTTTTTCGCTTCGAGTTATTAAAGATCGGCTTAGGGAATTTCCGTTGCCATTACCAGTGCATTATGAGACCATCTAATATCATCGACGATCTCATAGCCTTTTGATCGGCTCAGTTGTGGGGATATCCTTTGTCGCTGGGTCCCTCGCGAATACAGGTCAGCTTTCCTGGCTATTGTTCGATTGTCTTGCAGGAAACGGCCTGTTTACATCTCACTCCAAACTGTTGTATGAGCAGATCTGAGGGATCTGAGGGACCACCTGTACCATACAACCTTTACTGTGACTCGCCTATGACCATTTCTCAAGAGATGTATAGGAGTCACAGGCGCGTAGGAAAACACTAGGAGGAGTACGGCTATCTACCTAATACGCTTTGAATGACTGATATCTAGAGAGGCCGGTATGCTCGTTCCAATCAGGATTCGGAGGTAGCCATCCATGATTAGACCGCCTATTGTATGGGCCATCATCGCAAATCCCAGTAAGCTTAGCTGGCCAACTGTCATTCGTAAACAGATATAGACATGTCTCTTTTCAATAGTATAGGATTCATTACTCAGTCCAATCTACAAAATAGTTTCATACACAGTCAAGGGCCTTTCTTTTCAGGTCAGTGTTCATTGCTATGTGATAGAATAAGGGCGTTGAGAATAGCAAATCCTTCTAACGGCAGATTTCCCGCAGTTTAAACTTCTAATCTCGATCAGCTAACATCCGATCCAAACACTGCGTCGTCTGATAATAGTTGTATCCTCTAACGTCTAGAGCAAGGTTAGCCTGCACGTCAATGGAGAATGCTGAGTTCCATTCAACAAAGACTGGTCACTACTATCGGTAACGACAGACCAGGTTGCAGTGCCCCACGAGATACCCCCAGATGATTGTTCTTATTCGTCATAGGCCGAGTTTTGGTATTCATAAGAGTTAAACTGTTCAAGGCACGGCTCTAGGTTGTTTGTCAAGCTACATTTATCGATGTTTCATCCGTGATATTACCTCTAAAATCTGCACCTTTTGGACAACTTCATGTGTAGCATTGCTTTGTGGCTTGTGCAATAGATTTTCCTTAGCATTGACGTTTATTCGCTTCACCACCGGGCTTTGCGTGGTCGCTGAGACACGTATCAATACTTATTCGATGCTTATTCGGATCTTTCCGCCACAAAATACCTGCAGCGTCACGCATGATGAGCTTTCCTCCGGTGAGTTCACCTCCTGTTTGTGATTCTGCGGCAACGTCCCCGCCATTGATACATTGTTCCATCTCTGAGGTGCTCCTCAATTCATGGATCAATGGAAGGCTGTGATGCAGATTGGACAACAAAGATACTTTAAACAGCCAAGATGGACCTGGCTTTCATCTATTCTATTCTCTCGCATATTATTGTTTATATAATTAGCCTTCATTTTCTCCCCGCTGATACCATTGTGAATGCATCCGCCGCTATATAGATCCGCTTCTCAGGTTTCAGGTTATTTATTTAGAAAGAATACACCCCTTGCCGTTCGCTTGTCACAGATGATTGGCTGAAACGGACCATGGAATTGTTGACCCGTCTCTTTGACGCACAGAGCCATATATCTTACAGTCGAATGCTGACACTTCCAATATAGCGTCATTGATACAACCCACCTCTACATATCTTGTACTTGGATTGTGCTGAATACTGGATAGGTTTCGTACATACGTACAAAAGTGGCCCATAGGCCAACACGCTTCAGTAGAGTTATACTGTTCAGCCATAAGGTAGCTATACATCTGTAGACTAGTACTGGGAAGTATTGGCGCGCACGTAAGATTAGACAACATCATCACTCATTAAATCATATTTTTGGCTATACCTTCTCTTCAGTAATTGGCACGACTCCATTCCATGAAAGGCTTATGGCCACAACGTCCCTGCAGTTCAACACCCCTTGCGGCGTGTTGTATTGACCAACCCGCAGGTCTATTTGGAATGAGGCTATCCAATCGAGTCTTATATCCACTCTACTAATGGGCTGCTCACATAAGGCTCAATCCAAGTCTAGAACCATCAGTAGAGGGGCTACCGGAGAAAGATGCCGAGAACCCCGAAAGTCTCCTTCATCACTACTAAGACTCATAGTATCATTGTGCCCATTTATATCCTGGGTATCTAGCATGTGAGAATCCATGATCCGTAGTAAAGCAATACTAGGATATCAGCCGGGAAGCTGTTGCTGAAGACATAAGTGTCCCGGCTTGCATATGGCAATCACACCCTACATTGTAACGCTGTGCAAGAGGCATCTTGAGCCCTTGAAGAAAATAACAGTGTCCGTGTCACTTACATAGTTAGTGATGTTTTGCAGATGACCTCACATATCCGATCTACCCAAAGGAATAAGGACATCATATTATGGTCCCTGTTCTACGTCACGTGTGACAATTCCTAGCGGAAGTGCCATTACGCTCTGATATGTCGTACCTTTTTTTTTCTGAACTGTTTTCTTTCTAAACTGTTTCAAAAACAACCCATACCCTGGGCATGGAGCGACACGTAGTTGGCAACTACGGACCTACGGTAGAGACATATATATACATCGAGACACTCCAAACATACTAACGCACAGAACACCATCATTATGGTAGACTCGAGCAGTAACAGAAAACCCCACTTGGAAAATCCATGAATCTTTCACAAGATCCCTTCAACAAAAATTAGCGACAGAAGTGCAAACTAAACGAAGGTTGGTCCCCCTGTCTTGAAACGGAGACAAGCCGGGACCGGAAACTTGAACCACCCGTAGTGGCGGCAAAACCCGCCATGGCAGGCCGGTACCGGGATTCCTGAAATAGCAGGTGATCTCAGACCACGATTCTATTACTACCGGCTATTAGCATTGCAATCATCAGGTTAAACGAACCTTAACTTTGGATAAAACTAATTTAATTTAGAAGATAGGCAGGTGATTAGCGAATGACAATAATGGCCTAAGGCATCAAGTAGCTTAGGTACGGAGTAGCCGCGCTGACACATCTGGCAAACTTGTTTCTGTAGATCCTGTAGTATGTACCATACCTACTATACCCTGTACTGTTACTACTGTATACAGTTTTGGTTTCCAAACTTTACAAGCTAATGGATCTTCTATGCATGTGTGCATATGTTTCGATATGTGCATAATAAATGGGAATTTCTCATATCGGTCAAATATATTCTCAGAGTCATATAGTCTGTAACTCTGTTATGCTGTATTTGGTCGTTACCCAGATCCAAGTAATCTTGCGGAGATTATGGTCCTATCTCCGTGCTTTTGTTCCCAACTCTAACATTTCTCTCGCCGTCGTGCCATCAACATTCATCTCCCCTAATACTACATTGTCAGTTTTCCACGCTTAGAGCGTAGATGATTATTTCAATAAAATGGATGATCAAGATAATACGGCGTAAGTAATGAACTTATGCTCACCGGTCTACGCACGATGTCACCCACTAATGCCGCAATGCGTCGAAAGGCCATCGAAACGGAGCAAGAAAGCTTGCACCGAGTGCAGGCAGCAAAAGGCGAGTTATCGCAAATTATGCTCTCCATTATGCTTTTGCATCATGAAGTTATCATAATGACTCTACCAACGAACTATTCACTAATCTTAGCGTCTGCAGGCCCGATGCGATGCCTACGTCAACCCTGATCGGCCATGCACCAGGTGTGTCAAGATGAAAGCACAGTGCATTATCTCAGACCCATTCCGGAGAGAGCACAAACGCCAGTGAGTGGACGAATGCGTTTGCTTTCTATCAGACGTTTATAGAATTAATAATTGAAAAAGGCGACTTTCAGAACTCGAACAGGAGACAGATGAGTTGCGCAAGAGATTGAGGTCATCGCAGAGCGTTGTCCCGCAGTCATCACCTATCGCCATGCTGACAGCTGCAGCGGAAATGGGTGTGCATTCCACGGGAAATGAAGTTGGCCTACACTTAACGCCCCAATCACAATCACCCCCAGCTTCCTATGCTGAACCAACGGTTCCTTCTCTCGTCCTAGGGCCGCCCCTACCACGAGTGGAATATGCTCCTGGTGAGCGAGCTTCGGATCCAACAGTGTCGCGTACTTTAAGCGGTATCGAGGTCACTGGCGAAGAAATAGACGAGATATTCCAACTGTACGCGCCTAACCGACCACAGATGTTGCTGTACGAGCTAAGAGAAACCAGGTTCTTTGAGCAATATGCCCAGTTCCTCCCCGTGTTGGACCCATTAACCACTCCGAACGCATACTATGCACAATGCCCCTTCCTATTTTGGGCTGTCATCGGGGTCGCATGCAGGACGTACCCGAAAAATCCGACATTGCTCACCGCGCTTGCACGAAGCATCACAGACATGGCTTTACTTTCACCTGCATCGACATCGGCCCCATGGCATATAATCCAGGCCTTGCTGCTCTTCCTGACATGGCCTATGCCGAAGGATAATACAAGGCCCGAGTTAACCTTTCCGTTAAGTGGCAGTATGCTGCATATTGCCATGCAGAACGGGCTTCATATTCCCATGTCTAGCCACGAGTTCACTAAGAAAAGAATTCCTGCCCCATCCGAGGCAGAGCTGGTGCGGCGATCCGAGCTTTGGGCACGCTGTGTGATTGTGTACCAACGGTAAGGTGCAAACCACCAACCTGCTTATGAGATGCTAAGAGATACCAGTGCCTGCTCTATAAAGGGACACCCGCCTCGTTCCGTCATGGAACTAGAGCAGGACTTTGGACAACGTGAAGTGGATGTTCAGAAGCTATCGCCGCCACTCGTCGTGGAGAGGAAATGTCAGGAGTTGGTTGCTCGTTGTAGCGCGGCTGTTCTCGAGATCGGGGTACGAACAGTGTCCCTAGAGCAAGAGAGAGCTTTAGATATTTTGTTACGTACATTTGAGAACCAGGTCACAGATTTGGAGGCACAGACAAGTCAAGGTAATACCAATCTTATCTTCCCATTCATTAGTTCGGGAGAGGCTCACTGCCATCTAGCGCATGACCGGATCCAAACCACTATTTGTCGTCTAAGCATTCAAATGTTGCACTTTTTCAAAAATCAGACGTTATCCTCGACGGGTTGCGTTCAACGTCTTTTATGTACCGCCTGTTCGGTTATCGGGTCAGTTCAAGATTTAAGCCGGACACCACTGAATCTTGCAGCAGCTCCTCTGCAGCTGTACTTTGCGCTGCTCCTCGCCTCAGTAGCTCTATTGCGCATACTCAAAGGCCCCTCATTACCTGGGCTAGATCTGGAGAGGGCTCGATCACGCTTTTTTATTGCAATCAATCTCCTTAAACAGATGTCCGTCCAGAACAATGATGCTGCAGCGAAAACGGTTATTGTATTGAACCAACTATGGAATAGTACAAGGGCCTTTCGCAAGTCCGACGGGGGTGATTTCCCAACGCTTCGGATCCGTAGCCGATTGATGCTCAGTCCAGTGGTGGATGCAGTATGGTGGTGGCGGGAAGAGCATGACCCCCAATGTCGGTCAGGCGTCCCCTCCCAGGGAAATGCGCCGGATGGTATGTTTCTTTCATCTTACCCCTCATGGCGAAGCTTATCATCGGAATAGGAATTGATTCCAATCGAGACAGCACCGGTGCGGTGGTAAACGCACCGATTGGCCTGATGGAACGCCAAGAGCCTGTCCTTTTTGGTGACCAGTTTCTGGCTGATTTCGAATGGGCTTTAGGCGATGACGGACTCTTCCCTCCGACTGAGCTGTATGGCTCAGGCTGGTCATCACTAGGAGCTACCATCTAGCGCTAATAACCCCCCGGTCGGCGCCAACGGCTTAGACTGAATAGTAGTGAGAGACTAACATAGACACCGTCACAGGAGAGTCGCAGGTGCTTCGGTAAACACGACAGGCTCAGTCCAAGATGTTGACTGATCACGCCTTATGCTTTCAATGATGCCATGCTCACACCCAATCACAATCAAGCGTGGCAATCAGAATTCACCTGCCATTAGCATAACAATAACACATGGCTTGCTGGGGTGATTGAAACCCGGCATCCGACGGTATCCATTCGCCATGTGGCCTTGCCAATATAGTGCAACAGACTCATAGGACGCTCTGACGATAGATGTGCGAATAAGTTCTAGTGCGGGCATATACTTTGAGGTCACTAGCTGCATCACAGCCGAATATGGCCGTTGATCCCACGTCTCAGTATCTTCCGCGCTAGAACATCGTTCCATCTTCGCACCTGCCAAATACAGGAATCTAGGCCAAAATTCAAGATTATGGCAGCGTGCTACCTCACATCGAGTCCGTGCGGGTGTTCAAGCCACCAAATCTAGTCGGCGATGATGTTATCTACTAATTACCTGCACCCAGCCTTTACGAAGGATTCTTCGTGCTGTGATTCGCCCCAAACCTTGCTAGTAATCCCACTTTGGGATAATGGCTGTTGTGGCGATATTTTGAACAACGGCCGACTTTGGACAAATACGGTGTACTATATCTACCATAAGCTTCGATGGGAAATTTCAACCGCCATTCATGAATCAAGGCCCCAGAATAGGAAGGAGATGGGGTGTATTGAGAAAAGGTGCCGATTTTGGGCATGTTACATCGCTCTATCGCTCCCGCAGTTGGGGTTGAAGCAGGGGGCTTCGAGAAGAGACAGCAATTGGCTCCATCCTGTTGCATGGGCCTTATCAAGCCCGCCAAGTTGAAGCTAAGACGGAGTTAACTTTCAGAAGCGGTTAGGGTTATCGCTACAAAACCTCCGATGATTTGCCGTTCTGTTCCCGGGTTAACCGAGGCCTCGCGATATCCTCAACCTCGCTTCGTATGGGCCCCGCCTAGTATATTGTCTAAACGACGCTAGGCAGGCCCCGAGGCAGGTCACGCAGACATTTCCATGGATGCTGTGATCAAATGATGTCTCTTTGCGTTGGATAAGACCGTGAATCTTTTGTGTTGGGTTTGCGGTGGTGTGCTCCATTGCTTATCAGGAACAAGCTTGTGCGGGTGGGAGCGCCGGGGTCTTGTATCTCGTATCAACCCATTCCTCCTATCGGTATCGCATGCAGGCCACTCATAGGCTACAATCGATTGTAGATTGGCCCCCACCTCCCTCCACTGAATTAGCGCGAGAAATCCAATGCTTAATACCCCAGATACGGACCGGACGTCCGACGCAATTCACGACTAATTTCAATTACCCCCTAATCCAGCCTTCTATCTCTCTAGCGTTGATTGCGGTAAAACATGCATAGGTTGTGCGATTCGTCGGCGCATATAGGAACGCCACCCCGGTAGTGGTCAGGTCAATTAGTCAATGGCCAGTCACGAAGAGGCAATAGGTCAGGGAGCTGGTCGAGGAGCCCTAGTGTCATGTTTGCCGAATAGCTTAGGGAGCCTATCAGCGCCCGGCCTTCAGCTGATATAGCGAAACAGCGCCGATCTGCGGAGATTCTCTTCCATCGTGTTGCCAGAGGGTAAACGTCGTTGAAGCGAGGGGATTCTTCACAGCTGATCTGCATGATCAAGATATTGGGGTCTATGTGAAATTGTCCGAGTGACTGTCTGTCAGCACGGTAGAATGGCCGCATTGTTCCCTCTTGGCATGAACGCTCGATTTGTCTGTCTTACCCAACATTGGTATGTCTATAAAGACGAGCTTCAGGCAGTGGAAACCTTGGTTTCTGAGCCGGGGTTACATCGGAACCTGCCTAGTGACTAGTGGCTTTGGGATCTAATTGATAGCGCTGGTTCCATTTCCTATTAATTAATTTATCCATACATAGACGATAAGATGTCGGGCTACCATCGGACATAGCTAGTGCTCCCCACCCTTCTGGTAAGGAGCAGAGCGCCATCGTATCATTTATATGGGGTAACTGCCTTCAGCACTCTCACTTTCTTTTCCACATCCCCATCACTCTCTCAGCTAGCTTACCCCCTTTGCTTTTCTCCTCTTCTTCAGTTGGATGGTCAGTGTGAGTACGACCACCTTCTCATACCAACACACTCTAGTGGCGTCGTCTCCCTGTCACGCGCCACAATGAAGGAGAAAGAGACCGGACCCACGGTGGCCGTGTCTACCGGAGCGGCCATTGATGAAGCAGCACCGGATGCGGCCATCTCCCATCTGAAACAACTGAAGAAGGAGCAACAATGGGACCCAAACTTGCCCGAAGATGTCACCGACGAGATTGACGACAAAGCTGGAGCAGAGGCTGCTGAGGATCTCATTGACAATTCTCCATATCCAGAAGTGCGTGCAGCCGTCCCAAACTATGACGAGGGTGGTCATACCAATACCATCCGCGCCTGGGTCATTGGCCTAGTCCTAGCCACTGTTGCATCGGGGATGAACATGCTGTTCTCTCTACGCCAGCCATACATTGTGATTCCCTCGTATGTTGTTCAGGTTGTGGCCTACCCAATCGGTGTAGGTTGGGCAATGTTACTGCCAAATAAGACTTTTAATTTGTTTGGTCTCAAGTTCAATCTGAACCCCGGCCCTTTTAGTAAAAAGGAACACGCCATTGCAGTTCTCATGGCCAACGCCTCATTTGGGGGTGGTACTGCCTATGCCACCGATATCATAGTTGCCCAACGAGCCTTTTACAAACAACGGTTCGGATGGGGCTATGAGCTCCTCTTGTGTATATGTACCCAGATGCTGGGCTTTGGCTTTGCGGGCTTCTTTCACCGATTCCTCGTCGCCCCAGCAGCCATGATTTGGCCATCAACGCTCATCAATACATCCATCTTTAGCGCACTGCACGACCGCACTCTTCCCGATCCACGAAAGGTTGCCGGCTGGACAATCGGCAGATATCGCATGTTTTTGTACTGTTTGATCGGATCTTTCGTCTGGTATTGGTTCCCTGGCTATATTGCTCCCTTCCTCAGCGTCTTCGCCTGGGTGACATGGATTAAGCCCCAGAGCCCTGTCGTCAATCAGCTCTTCGGTGGCTGGACGGGGTTGTCTCTACTTCCTATCACTTTTGACTGGACTCAAATCTCGGGTTTTAACTTCAGTCCACTGATCTCGCCGTGGCATGCGCACGCGAACACCCTTATTGGTATGGTGGTGTTCTATTGGATCTGCACTGTTGGTCTACACTACAGTAATGCCTACTGGTTCAAGCACTTGCCCATTAGCGATTCCAGCAGCTACGATAACCTCGGAAAGGTATACGATGTGTCCAGAATCCTGACGCCAGAGTTTACCTTCGATGCTGCCAAATACAAAGAGTACTCGCCTCTCTTTCTGTCCACGACATTCGCTTTGTGCTACGGCCTGAGCTTTGCTGGCGTTATTGCCGTCCTTCTGCATGCGATATTGTTTCATGGTAAGGAGGTCTTGGCCCGCCTCAAGACTTTCCGCAAGACTGAGGACGATATCCACGCCCGTCTGATGGCTCGCTTCAAGCCCGTTCCGCTGTGGTGGTACGGTGCACTCTTTTTGACTATGATGGGTATAGGTCTGGGTGTGTCACTCGGATACCCCACTCACCTGAGTTGGTGGGCTTTCTTTATCGCCTTGATCATGGCCATTGTGTGGACTTTGCCTGTTGGAATTGTGCAGGCAGCTACAAACATCCAACTGGGACTTAACGTTTTGACAGAGTTTGTGATCGGCTACATGCAGCCTGGAAAGCCAATGGCCATGATGCTTTTCAAAACATTTGGTTATATATCCATGTCCCAAGGCTTATACTTCTGCCAGGACATGAAACTTGGTCAGCTTCAACCTTAGATTCCCCTGGGTTCAGCGCTAATTCTTTTACAGGTCACTATATGAAAATCCCTCCCCGAGTTACATTTGCCGCCCAGATGGTCGCCACCCTGTGGACGTCGATCGTCCAGATTGCAGTCATGAACTGGGCATTAGGATCGATCAATGGCGTCTGTGAACTGGATCAACCGAACCGCTACACCTGTCCGAACGGCCGCGTTTTCTTCAACGCCTCCGTCATCTGGGGAGTCATTGGTCCCGCTCGCATGTTCTCACCCGGCCAGCTCTACTCCGGCTTGATGTGGTTCTGGCTCGCTGGCGCTGCCTTGCCCGTTCTCATCTATCTGGGCGCCCGTATATGGCCCAGAAGCAAGATCCGTTACCTCAGCGCGCCCCTAATCTTCACCGGTGCCGGATTGATTCCCCCTGCTACGCCCCTCAATTACCTCAGCTGGGGCATTGTTGGCTTCATCTTCAACAAGTGGATTCGCACCCGCTGGCGCGGCTGGTGGATGCAGTACAACTACGTCCTGTCTGCAGGGCTCGATGTCGGTCTCACCCTATCCACGATCGTCATCTTCCTTTGCCTGCAGCTGACTGGGACTGAGTTCCCGTCATGGTGGGGTACTCGTATCGCGGCCGATACCATGGATGCTGCCGGCACTGCAGTAGAAATTACTGGGGAGAAGTTCGGCCCAGCGACATGGTGATCACATCCATGATGTGTTTGGAGGAGGGTTTGGAGTAACGTAATGTATTTATCTATTTCTCCTGTTATGCCTAGGCCATCCGGCTACGGATCATGTAGTATGAATGATATCTATAATGAGTGATGTCCGTCCTTTGATGACCGGTCTACATGATGGTGGCGTTTCCGCTAACTATGGATAATAACCGCTGTAAAGCTCTTATATATATGAGAGCATAATGAAGTTCACTCAATTGGCATTATCAGGAAGTGCGTGCTTTCTTTGCTGCCCCCAAGCTATATCGGGTGTACGATTCTAGGGCTTTGGTTTATTATCGGCCTTAATCCCGGCAGCGAGATAGGCTCATTTATACATCCATGCCTCGACTAACTGCCAAGTTAAGATAATATATTTAATGACCTACCAATCATTCCATTTAAGCACCAAGCTAGGCCGACTAGCAGTTGTATGTCTAAGTGCACGAATAATATCTGTACGCAGGATCACCGACACGCCCAGCATCGATGACGATAACTTCATCCGCAAAGTCCATAGTCTCACGGCGGTGAGTAACAACAAAAGCCATCCATCCACAGCCAGCGAATTCCGCCTTTAACAATCTCTGCATAGGCAAAGAAGTCTCCATATCAAAATTACTATTCGCTTCATCAAGCACCACGATCCCACCGTGAGTCAGGGTGACGTACCGAGTCTCACCTAGAGCTTTTAGTACAAGAGCTCGGGCAAAGCTGAGTAGCTGTTGCTGACCTGAGATCAGGAAAATCGTCCACCGGGCTGTCAATGCATGAACTATTGTCGTTATAGGAGCACACGGAGTGCTTCGCAAACAGTAGAATCGATGTCACCCTTCGTTCGTCGCATTTTTTTTTTTTTAACACGAAATATAAAATCAGTCGGTTTTTATTCTCAACAGTGGTCCCTGATTCACCACAAGGGCTCTCCAGTATCAGTCAATTTGTCGGACTTCCGCCGGTGGTTCATTGAATACTTTGGACCGGGGGACTGTTGGGGGTAGCGTTACTACAAAACGCCCCTTGATTGATCTTACCCTCTATGTTGTTTCCGGTAGTCTATTCATGCAAATACAGATTGAGTTCCAATCATCAATTGAACATTCACTCTTTATCTATCACTGGCGATGAACATGTCAAGACCCCGATAACTTTACTTGACCATTTTACGTACCGATCATTGGGACGGAAAATTGTCGGAAGCTTTTCCCGCCGCCACTAGATCATTAGATCCACTCTACCTTCCTATTCTATTCGGAATGCGAGGTAAAATGAAAACCCAAGCAAAGGGGTATCAAAGTCAAGTGCCCATCTTTCGCAGAAGATATGCTTACAGTGTCATTCTGTAAAGATTCAGACAACAGAAGAGGGTAACGGGATAGACAGTTGTCCTGTCTGTGGGTGGAGGGCGTAAACTTGATTTTTGCTTTAAAGAATCAGAGGTGGAACATGACATTCAAGGGAATCAATTGATACCTGGAGCCCTAATGACTGCCCCTTGAAAGCCACTGTGGAGGACCTCGCGATGTGGCCGAGATAGGCAACTTGGCACCCAGTTCAAGTCCCACATAGTGCTTATACCCACCTACCTTCTTATGCCGGATTGCGAAACTTATAATTAATACATTATATCGAGCATCTCCATGCTTGTAGTTAATCGTCCTTTTAAGGTGGCGAGACAAGACAGCCCGCACGACTATATAGACGAGGGGCTTGCTGCTGACATACCGGTATGACAAGTATCATTTCTTTCAGCGTGGATGTTGCATTACTCTCAAACACTGCTGGATCCTGGATTTTAACAAACAGCAATCTCGAATCCTGATAGTCATGCCTAGATACAAGCGCATGGCGTCGTCATCCCCTCAACACGCACGCCGGTCACGGCGAATTGCCAACTTAACTGAGAACAATCGTGTTGCAACTCCTGTCAAAAACGAGAATCACGTTACAGATGAAATAGATGAGACAGATGGGGATGGATCATCATTTCATGATACCGCCGACGAGGACCATGGTTCTGATAATATAGAAATCGAGCACGACAGCGACGAAGATGGGTTCGGTACCATGGACAAAGATGTCGAATACGAAAAGCGAACTGTATTTCAAGACGAAAAGAGCGGCAGGGTAGTTACTATCATTCCTCACGAGACCTTACGCTCGCTCAATGGAGTTGAATACTCAGACTACAAGGTACATAAGAATACTTTTCTATATCTGATGGATCTCAGAGCCAATAACAGACGGACTTGGTTCAAACGTAAGTATAAAAAAGCAAGACCGAAGACAATACTGACAGCAATAGGCCATCAAAAGGAGTTCAAACGTGCCTGGAAAGATTGGGAGGTGTTTATAGAAACTCTTACGCCCAAGATCATTGCGTTTGATTCTACCATCCCTGAACTACCACCCAAGGACGTCATATTTCGGATATACCGAGATGTTCGCTTTAGCAAGGACAAGAGACTCTACAAGGTTAGTAGTTCCATTACCACACGGAGTGCTTAATATCTCACCTTTACTACCTTAAGTCCCATTTTTCCGCAGCCTTCTCCCGCACTGGTAGAAGGAGACCATATGCATGTTACTATATCCACCTGGACCCGGGGTCAGCGTACGTCGGCGGCGGGCTTTGGGCTCCAGAGCCCCCGACGATCCAGCTACTGCGGGACAGCATTAACGAGAGACCTGAAGCGTGGCGTCAAATTCTGAGTTCTGAGAATTTCAGGGATATGTTTTTGCCGAAAGGGAAGGCCGGCGTGGAAGGAGCATTGGAGGCGTTTGCTGAGGCCAACAAAGAGGGAGCTTTAAAAACAAAGCCAAAGGTACGATATACAGTTTGCGAAATGCATAGCCAATGTCAGTACTAACATACTTAGGGATATGATGTACATCATCGTGATATCGAGTTGTTGAAGTTACGGAATTACCACGTTGTGAAACCGGTGGATGATGCAATTTTTACCGCCGAAGATGGGCAGGATAGGATAATTAGTATCCTTAGTATTCTACTACCGTTTGTTACGTTCCTTAATGATATCATCATGCCAAATCATGATGAGTCTTGAGGAGACCTTGTGATCTCTCCAGGCTCCTTCGGGCCGCCGGAGGCTGCCTTGCACTTTCGATCCCTAACATAAAACATATCTAACTCTCAAAGTCCCACACACTGGTTGAATTATTGGTTTAGTCCAGCCTTAGCCTTCTCCAACAACTCCTTGACACTTGTAGCGTGTAATCCCTGGAGAACTCCAGTTCCCCAAACTAGCGCCTTTGCATCGGGGATGTGATTCGCATTCGTGAATCCCAGGATCCTCATCTGATGGACGGCTACACCGCCATCATTCGCCTTGAGCCCCTTGTAAATCGCATCAAGTACCTCCGAAAAGGTCACTACATTCAATTTCCACGCTGGATCGTGAGCTCTAATCAGCTCGAAAAGGTCTCGGTATGTCAAAGTCTGCCCAGCCAAGTGGGTAACCGGCGGCAAATCAGCCCCAGTATGGATACTATTCCGCAATACAGCCAAAACTGCCCAAGCTACATCTCCAAGCGAAGTCAAAGTAACCTTTTGCAAGCCATCCGCATATACGTCGAAGACCTTCGTGCAATGGTCCATCGCCCATGCGGTTCCAACCTCGCGAAGTGGATTCTTATCCTGAGGCAAGATGTATTCCATGAACCAGCCGTGGCAGATCATTGTCCACTTAACGTCATGTTGGGATCGTAGCTTCTGGCGAACAACTTCATGCGTGGCGGAACTGAACATTGGTTGATCGGGAAAATCCTCGATGTTGATATTCCATTCCGAAGGAATGAAGTGTTTGCAGCTGCGCGATGCGCTGCATGCTTCTAGAATGTTTGAGTGGGCGGAGATATAGAACTCGCTGGGTCCACTGAGGGTTGAGACGACAGCGTCGCAGTCGTCAAGGTGCTTCTCTAAATCTTCGATGGAGTAGTCCGTGAGACGAGTCTCGGCTCTGAGTTGTTTGAGGCTCGGTTTTAGTGTACCAGTGATAATGATCACCTCGTCCTCTGATTTGCAGAATTCTGTCGCAAGGCGAAGGCCTACTTCTCCTGCACCAACAAGTGCGATTCTCATGGTTATGAGATGTTCTTCTGAACTAGAGGATGTGTGGGGGGATGGAAGTGGGAGTACAATGGCAGGCACGTCCGAGTCCAATTAAAGGAGTTTCAAAAGGTGAATCTACACTTTGGACTTTCACTGCTTGAGTATATATACGTTCTTGTGGGTCTATTGAGTAGAAGTAAAATGCGCAATCGTGGGCGGCAAGGTACCGAAAATCCTTAGAAACCCTTGACTATAGTAAAAACCAAGACCAGTCAAATGTCAACTACCAGAGAAAAAAATTCCCCAGGTATACCCTATAATCGGTCGTACCCTGTTACCTAGTTGTGGAGCATCCTAAGTGATCCACTCTACTTTCCTCTTTCGGCTGCATCGCGAGGCAATCGTCAGGGCCACGCACTTTTAATTTACTGAGACCAGGATATAGCAACAACTGTCAGGATTTGGCTAACCTCGTGTCTCTGATTACGCTCTGATCATGTTCTCTTCTTCCCAGCTTCTCGGTGAGGCGGAGCCTCGGAGTATCCCTCCTCGCGAGAATCCTCCATTACAGCACTCGGGTCTACTGTGAAGACAGGTATTTAGCTATTACAGATGCGATTACTCAGTTATATTGCCCTATACATGGTTCTGACTTTGCTCTCTCGAAAACAAACAAGGAATTACAACGTCAGCCGGTGTTAACATTACTGAAGTGATCGGCTCGACTGAGGTATGCACTACGCTTCAGTTCATGCATCGCCTAAGGCCTCCGCAAGATATATATTACGCACAACGCTTCTAATACCAAAAAAGAAAGAAAGAGAGCCTAGAAAGGGTCATTCATCATATATACATATAAGCCCCAGTCATCAAGAAATTCGAAAGTAGAAATTCATTGAACATCGCACAATTTCAAATCATACAACCAGATGAGAAAGTCATATTTACATCCAATTCAGTGTTCCACCCAAAGTCTAACCAAAACTTTCTTTGCCACCCCTCCCAAAACCTAAACAGCAACACTCCTCCTCTTCATTCCAACCATGAGTGCCAAAGGCTTCCGGAGGAAACCCTCTCTCGTCTCCATGGGTCCATCCTGCTGAATTTCAAAGTCAAACAAGCGGAAGACAGTTCCAACGATGACGAGCAGCTCCATCTCCGCGACATTGCGGCCGACACAGGCACGGGGACCAGTACTGAAGGGGATGAAAGCGGCCTTCTGGCGGGCGGTGAGACGCTTGGGATCCCAGCGCTCGGGGACGAACTGCTCGGCATCGGGACCCCAAATTTCCTTGGAGCGGTGGATGGTGTAGGTGGGTACGGAGACGACGTCGCCAGGGTAGAAGGTGTGGCCCGAGATGGTGACCGGTGGGTTACCGGCGGGAATTTCACGGGGAAGACCCATTGCCGAAGTGCTGTGGATACGCATTGTTTCCCAGATGACCCATTGGAGACTTTTTCTTTCGTTAGCTTTTTGCCATGATACATAATACAAGGGAGGAGGGAAGGGAGGAGAATAACATACTAGGGGATATCCTTAACCATCGCGTGAACGGGCACATCCACATCCTTGGGAATAGACTCGTCGAGCACCTTGTGCAGCTTCTCAATAACCCCAGGAGTGCGCAGACACCAGTACAGAATGGCGCAAGAGGTGTTACTCGTGGTATCAGAACCGGCAATCAGCTGCGTCAGTGCTTCAGCCGTAAGTTCCTCGCGGCCGAGCTTGTTTCCATTCGAATCCTTGCCCTCCATCAGACGAGCCAGCAAATCCACACGAGTGTTGTTAGCCATAACCTCTGGGCGAAGACGCTCATTGACCCGCGCAACCGCAATACCAGCCAGGTTCTCCACAGCCTCGAGTCCATCCCTAAAGAAGCGGTCGGGGATATACTTCGCCCAGGGAATGAGGCTGGGGCAGGCACCCAGGGTAGCAGAAACTTCACCACGGCGGTTGAGGACCTCGACGGCCTGCACGTAGCTGGGCTTGTCGTTCGGGTTCTTGCGCATTTCAGCGATGTCCTGGCCCTTCTCGAGCATGCCGAAGGGGGCGCCGAAGGCGAGGTCACCGATGATGTCGAAGGCGAGGTAGTTGAACCAGTTCAGGGCGTCGATGGTTGCATAGCCAGTCTTGGGGTTACTTTGGGTGTCGGCGATACGGTTCCATTGTTTCACGAAGAGCTCGGCGTTGCCGTGGATGTATTGTTCGAATTGACCGATGGATTTCATGGAGAAGGTGTGGCTGACGGTCTTACGCTTACGGGTGTGTTCGGCACGGTCGCGGGTGTTGAAGAGACCGCGGCGGATGGAGACGAAGGCATCATAGAAGTCACTGTATTATGATTAGTATTATTTATCTGAATTAAAGTTGTTGTGCTGTTGTTGGCGGGACTTTTATCCGCAGAGAGTGGGGTGTCGATTGTATAGGGGAACAGTAAAGGAAAGGAAGAAACATACGCCTTGAGGAAACCATTTCCATGTCCGTAGATCGCCTGGATAGCCTCGTCGTCGGCAATGGAGACATGTCTGGGAGCAATGCGCACGAGTTTGCCGTGTTTTTTATGAGCTTCATCGACGGTGACGAAGCGGTTGCCCTTGCGGTACTGCAGCATCAGCCACAGGTTAGAAAAGGCGGCGAAACCGGGCGACGGGATATCGCGTAAGCGCCATAGCTGCAGGTACGGCAGGATATAGTAGACGAATACGGCGGCGGTGAGCACATATGCTGCGCCCGTGGGCGTCAGGAGCTCGGCAATCATGGCGGCTGTTGTCGTTCTTTTTTTCTCCCCCAGCAGGACGGGATAATGTAGGACAATTAAGAAACTAGGCAAGGGAAGTGAAACGTTAGCATTCGCGAAAGGATTCAGAAATTAACCATAACGGGATCTTCGTGGAGAATCAACTGTTGACCGTTGCCACTAACCTCTTTTTGGTAAGTTAGGAATGAATCGTTCACTCAATCAATCGCACAAACTGTTGAAGGTCAAGATTCAAGAGTGAATTGAAAGAAGATGAGAAGAAGTAGAATAATGCTAATAAGAATGAGAATCACTCCAAAAGTCGAAAAATCATATCATCTCTCTCTATCATCCTCATCATGACCATGGCTGACGGTCAATATTTATGGGACTAGCGTGGACGAGGCTTCCCCGAGGCTATCCAACCGACGGGAGACGAATTCGGGAAGTCTGGGGTTGCCTCACTACTCTCACGCAGCCGATGCTGGCCTCCGATCCCCCGCTTCTTTCGGTTAATGTCCCCCTGCAAGTCACGAGTCATGATCGACCGCCCAGGTCTTACCCACGGTTTTCGTTGGTCGCTTCTACGTCTATGACTGGTGAGGCACCCTCATTTAGCTTTGAGCCAAGCTAATATGGTGTGAATGTCCTTACCTTTACCCGCTCTCTCATTGGTGGTGAAACAGCACACCCAACTTGTCATCCTGTAAGTTCTTTTCTACTACACAGTTAGTGGCGTTACTGTGGGCAAATAGACATATCTCGTATTTACTGATTTACTTTTTCTACGCTTTGATGTCAGGTTAGACCCCCAATCGTGTTCGACAATACTTCAGCAACATTTGGGGGTAACCTAAAGTACAGATATGACAAATATCTCATGTAGGTAGGCACAGATTAGATTCTATGGGACGTCACGTTGTTCCAAATAATTATGTGCAGATACGAAGAACCCATTATGCAAGACTCCCTCTACGGCTGGTCAGGATTTAGCTGGCCCTACTACTAGTATGATGTATGCTTACATATGCGGTATATCCGATCCAACCAACGCTCCACAGTATACTGCCGGTGTATGAATATGTACAAGTCTACTTCTTCATAGATAGTCCGCTCTACCACCGGTCCCCTTCCACCCGATACAATCCACTCTTCCTCTTCTCCGCCTCCCATCGCTCAACCCATGCCTTCATTCGTTCCCGACTTTTCCGGCTGCCGACGTTTACCGTAGGGATCACCCGTCCGATCCGGAGCGCACAACAGAACATCGTTAGCTCCCGAAACGAGCTATGTTCGCTGTACGGCACCCCAAAGCAGGCACTTTCACGCGTACTTCCGCGTTGGGGCACTAGGTCGCGTGCGGTGAAAGGCGTCTTCCAATGAGCAGAATGTAGCACCGTCGAGACGGGTGGGTTGTCCAACATCCGCTCTGTAGGTGGACGGTATGTCCATCCTGTCGGACGGAATCCCACCACACGAGTGAAGTGCGGCTTCATCGAATCCAGGTAGTCGGCCAGCGTCTCGGCGCGGATCTCGAACAGCGTCTGCATATGAACCTGGGCCTCCACGGGGTCGTCCGTTAACAACGAAGAAAGCTCGGCATCCTCCAAACAAGCGCACACTCGTTGCTTGCCCGCAGTAGCATAAATCTTGCTCTTCAAGGCTCGGGCAATTGCTAGACATACACGCTCTTTACCAATACTATATGTGCCAATGACGACCAACAATCGCCCTTCCGGACGAGACGATCGCTCCTGTGACTTGTCTGACCCCGTCACAGAGTTGAAAAACTTACTCATGATACTCCCGCCTCCTTTACTTGCTTTTTGTGACTGCCACGGCGCAGGGCCATCGTCCTCGCCTCGGTCAAGGCTAACACAGAGTTCCGCGCAGGCTTCGATGACATCGATTTGACTGGGAAAGGAATACTTAGGGCTGAGATAAGTAGTATCCAAGTAGCAGACGTCAATCCTTTGCTGCCGTTTCTGGCCCGTGACGGAGTCAATTATCTCGGGGCGAAGAAGGGCGTGCTGCACATGGGTGGGAGATGCTCGAAAATCGCCACAATGCAGAACCCGCTGAATCCTCTTGGACGGACCGGACCCCATGGCCTTCTCAAACAGAAAAATGGCGCTTCCGGGGCAGTGATTGGCCTCAATCAAAGTCACTTGAACGCCAGTATTGGGGACCTCTGTAGTCTTCTCGAATTCCAAATCCACTACCCATCGCGGGTCCACCTTGAGTTGTTGGCGGACTAAGTTGCCAGTAGCTTTACTGCAGTAGATGGGCCCATGGCGCCAAGAGGCCGAGAGGCCTATGTAATGGTCACTGTGGTAATGGCTCAAAAAGTAGGCATTGCATCCTTCGACTGCTCCATAACGAAAAGCATCCACACAAATCGAGAATCCCGGAATAATCTTGTAGAATGGACAAGTTCGTTGATATGCCTGCTTGCCCCTTGACTTGACCTCGCTGGCCGCCGCGGCTGTCCATGCTGTATCTTCTGCGTTACCTGCCATAAGCTTCGAGAAAGCGGATGCTGTCTTAGATGTGACGGAGGAGTATGGATCATTTTGCGGTGGCCTTGCAATCGAAGCGAGTTCTGCGCGCGTCAGCGCCTTCGCCGGCGTATCGGGCTTCGGTTTCGGCAAGACAGTGGCAGGCTTCCCATCAAGGCAATCATTGACATGCACCGACACGTCCTACTATTATTAGCAAACAACTCGTACATAATCCAAGCCAAAAGAGCGCCTTACAACGTCACTCAAGCCTACCAACTCAATCTGGCATATTGGGCATACTGCTACACCACCGCCAGGATCCACGTCGCACTCCTCTAGAGCTGGCGAATCGTTCGAGTCGTCGAAATAAAATACCGTCTCTTCGGATCCTTCTGCGTCGTCGTTTTCTTCGTCTAAGAGTCCTTCTTCCCCTCCGAACTCGTTTTCTTCTAGATCGTCAAAATTCGCAAGTTCATCATCTTCGATATGGCTCGTGGCTTCTCTTACCAATGGTGGTACGGCGACATCGGAAGTTCGATCATTATCTTTCCGGTCATTATCAACGCCCCTTGCGTCCTTCACGGCTTCGGCCTTTGTCAACACGGCTGGTTCGTCACCGAAATCACCAAACGCTCCCAAATCCTCCTCACTGTCAGACTCATCGATAAACGGCCCGCTAACCTGTCGAGATTTGGCCGGAGCAGGCGTTGTCGCAGAGGCCTCATCCTTCACCTGATCCGTCCGAGGAGAGTCTGACTCTGACTCGACCTTACGCTTCTTAACCGCAGACCCATTCTCGTTATACCTGTCCTCCTCCTCCTCCTCCTCCTCCTCCTCCTCCTCCTCTTTCGGGACCACGAGGTCCCCATCGCCTTCACCCCATATATCGTCAGGTGTCCGTGACCGGGATCGCGGGGACGTACTAGGATCTATCAAGGCCGACTTCTTCCCATTCCGATCATCCAAGAACAACCCGCCACCACCGTTACTCTTCGAGCTATCTTCTCGCCGCAATGATGGGCTGTTGTGCCCGCTACCCGTCGGTCGGTCCGTTTTCGTCGCAAATTGCGTGATCCGAGACTGTCGAGAAGTGGCTTGCGGGGGGCCGTCCGCCTTCTGGAAAAAGTTCAGGAGACTGCTGTTCCGTTTCACAGAGGTTGGTTGCTTGGACCTGGAAGATGGTTTAGATGGCGTCGAGCCTTTCTTCGAGAATGAGCCAGCCATGTCGAATGCTATATATAGAGCAGGTTTTGATCGAAATCGACGGCCGTAGGTATATTGAGGTGAGGGGCAAATTGTTGGCCGCTGGATGGTAACCAGTATGTAAAATCTGACTTTAATGCGTTGTATGTCTTATATATTCATCCTGTATCGCATTCCCCGCCTTCTTATACGATTCTCGAGATTTAAACCAGAAAGAATGTCGACGATAGAAACCAACGTAAGACAACGACCGTGGCGCGGCGCGCGGCGATCATTTTCGCGTCGCGAGATCACGTGTTTATATTACCCGATAGGTGTGGGTCAGTGGGACTCAGTACACATTTGGGCAAACTCGGAATGATGGACATAATAGCAGGTTGTGATATTGACTATATAATAAGCACTGCATATAATCTAATGGGCATTAAGCCGTATTTCTGATCTTGAAAATCGAACTAGTGGAACACCCCGGGATGATTAAAAGACCGCAGTAGGTAGGATGAGAAGAGAAATAACACATGCAGCATCTAAAAATATATATGCAACTTGAAATGATGTGCCATACAATCCAGAAAGCCTATCGCCGAGAAATAACCTGCCCCTGCCCCGAACCCATAATAATATTCTGTGCTGTCAAAACATATGGGAAACCGTTTTGTTTCGCCTTGCCCATCCACTGAAGCATATCCATTGTCGGGAGAGATTTCCACGTTGATCTCGAATAAGCACCCTTCATAGAGCTTTGGATGTCAAACCGATGGTCGGCAGGGTATAACACTCTCTTGTATAAGGATGCCGTGTCATCAATATCATCAATAGTCTTGAGGATAGCCTCGGATACCGAAGCAATAAATGTAGTCGCTTGCCGAAGGTCCATATAACCAGATGTCGCCGTAATATCAGGGCGCGCACCGATGAGCTGGGCACAATCGATAAAGTCCTGCTCCACTATGGAGCTGGTCGTGAATGGCGTATCTGCCGGTGCTTCACTTGGTGTGTGGATGTACACTGGGATATTAAATTGTTGAGATACATTGCGAAGAAATTGCTCAGCTGCCCATTTGCTGGTCAAGTACCCATCTCGAGCATCGGGCAGGATATCATGGTGCCTGAGGGCTCCAGAAGAAAAGAAGTGAAGTGGAATCATGCGGGGGAGACACAACCGAGCAAGTTCGTGGACAGAAAGGAAGTTAACGGCCCGGAGTGCTTGATAGTCATCCCAGAAAGAGCGATTAGCCGCGCAGTGCACCACTATGTCGGCGTTATCAGACAAACTGCTTAGGGTGTCTGATGAAAGACCCAGCTTTGCCTTCTGAAAGTTGCACTCGATGGCTTTGACTTTCTCCGAATCTGCTGCTAACTTTGTCACGTCGCGAACAAGACAAATGATCTTCGAAACTCGAGCATCTTCAATAAGCGAGGAGAGCAGATGACGGCCAATGTACCCAGTTGCACCTGTCAAAACTATAGTTAAGTCGTCGTTTTCGCGGGATACCGGGGCGCTTGGAAGGATATTGGCCCAGGATGGTGGGATAGCGAGCTCGACCTCCCAGTCGACAACATTAACAGAGGTATCCTCTAGCAATTTAGCCATCTCGCCCAGCGTGCTAGAGTTCATAAGATCAGCCAGTCGCGGAGTAAACGCCAATGATTCTTGAAGGACGCGTTGAAGTTTCA